CCCAGGTAAACTCTCAACAACAGTAGCAACTGCAACAGCAACCTGTATCCCAGGGTAGTTCACAGTCTGCACCTGTCCTGCACCCAATACAGCAGCTTCAGCGGCTGCTGCTGCTGCTGCAAAGGCCAAAGGCCTTGCTCCTGTGGGATCCTAGTATAAGTGGGTAAGCCTTTGGTTAACACATTGCTATATATTGGGTTAAATGGCAGTAACAGACTTTATAACATGTTGAATGTAACATTTTTTAGTGACTTTCCGAAAGACTTGCTGCAAGTCTTAGGGGAAGCCCATTGTCATCTAGCTAATCCAGCCAAACCCATTGTAATTCTAACCTCTTAAGCCCACAACCAGAGCCAGAGCAAGATGGGGTTCTATATGGTGGCGGACTGTTGTATTGGTTTTGATAAAACCAGAGCCAGATGTTTTAATTTTTTTATCAAAGGACGAAAGCCTATGGGTATCTTCAAATCTAGGCTCCCCCTCCCTCTTCTTTTTGTTTTGTCATTGTTGTATATTTGTTCTCTCTGAAAAGATTTGGCACAAGATTCATGTAACTGAAGAAGTATATTGATGTTATGAGGCTATTGATGATTATGGTGGTGGTGACCGGTGATATTAATTGTAGAACGTAGATATGTTGAGACTTGAGAGGGGGCTTCGATGTTGTTCAATTCCTTGTAAATATGGTGGAGTACTTGAAAGCCCATAGGCAAATTCATTCAACTACCAATCTGATCAGTTACGTTACATCTTCGATCAGAAGAGAAGATAAAAAATCTGGCGCTAAAGACCAGGTTTCTACCGAGTTACAAGAAACGACAAATTTAGCTAGATGATGTGCTTACCTGATTGCCTGATCTAGGAGTGAATGCAACTGAGGAACCATCCAGGTGAGTTAGAAGACTCTTGCAGCTGGCTATTAGAGTATATAAAGATACTCCAATGCGGATTAGAGTTTTCCTCCAACAAGGTCTTGACAATAACTTCATTGTCACCTTCAAAGATGGTGTGAGAGATTGCCAAAGAGATGGCAAATTTGATACTCTCCAAAAGTGCAGTGGCTTCAGATACTAGCATGGAATAACTCGAGTATAGACGAAAGAGCCCTCATGATCTCTGACTATAAAGCCCACACCAGATTTGTGAGGAGAATTTGCCCCATCAAAATTGATTTTCAGATAACCGTTCGGAGGTTTTGCATGTCCATCTGATAGAGAGAGATGAACTAACAATTAATTAATGCACTATCCAAGTTTCTGGTCTGGCCATGCATTAATTATTATTGGATAACCAAATTTGTAGCACTCTGAATAATTGAATGAGGATTCCAAGGACAGTTCTTGAAAACATCATTTCTTGCAAGCATGTATGCCATAGCACTGAAAAGATCTTTAATTAGTAGATCAAAATTATGGATGGCACTCGATTTATATTGAGTCAGCCAAAAGGTGAGCCACTCAGAAACACAGTTCTGTGAGATTATTAATTTCAGCGCGGATGGCAATGTCTAAACCAAACCAGACCTGTTTTACTAAGGGGCAAGAAGTGAATAGATGCTCCAGGGATTCTTCAGCAAGATCATAGAGAGGATAGGCAGAAATTAAATGTTTTATAACCACTTTCAGTCTTTTCTTCACAGGGAGAACATCATGCATAATTCTCCAGATACAAGTCTGAATTTTAGGAGGAATAAAATTTAAACTCCACAAGTAATGCCATGACATTCCATCACCAAAAAATTGAGCAGAGGAATTTAGGGGTTTGTCTGCCAATAGGATTTTGTACCTCGAAGCTGTTGTGTAATTTCCATGTGGTGTGGGGGTCCAAACTAAAGTGTCCTCCATCCCTGAATTTGGAGTTGGGAGGGTTGGATTATAGTTTTTGGTAGCAGTGGTTGTGTCAAATAAGTGATTCACCACCCTCTTGGCACCAAGTCGTTGTAGTATGTATGATCAATTAGATTTGCAACCTTTGTAGGCATCTTTAAGAGAAGGGTAGGATTTGCTTGAATTTCAGTTGGCAACCACGCGTCCATGGTAACATTGACATTCCATCCATTTTCCACTAACCACCAACAACCCTTTTGTAAAATTGATCTGCTTTTTAAGGATTCCTCTCCAAATATACGAGGAGTTGTTATTATTCTTGGCTCTCTACAAATTGGAGTTTTTAATGTATTTAGCATTTGAGAATTTTGAGCCACAAGGAGTTAGGGGGTTCAAAAACGCCAGCCCAACTTAGCAACTGAAGCTTCATTTTGGAGCTTGGAATTGAAAAGTTTAGATAAAATTTCCATACAAAGGATGAAGAGATAAGGAGATAATGGGCAACCCTGTCTTAGCCCTCTGCTTGCGTGAAAAGTACATCTTGGTTTACCATCTACAAGCACAGAAAAATGTCTAGTGGAAACACATTGATGAATGAGGTTACAAGTCGCTTTAGAGAAACCAAACTGATGGAGAACAAATTTCATGCTTTCGAAAGATCAAGCTTAAGTAGAAAGCTTCCAAATCTACATTTTTTGCTTTTTCATGCTACGAAGAATCTCCTGTGTGATTGATTATAGTATTATCTGTTATGATTTTGCCAGGGGTAAAAGCACTTTGGAATGGTGAAATCAGCTTTGGGAGAATGGACTTTAATCTGTTGGTGATGACCTTGGCTACAATTTTATATAGCACATTGCTTGAGTCAATAGGTTTGAAATCCTTAATTAGCTCCTTCTGCTTTCTCAACTTTTGGGATCAAACAGAGGTATGTATAATTGACAGATTTAATATCTTCTGGATTCCTGAAAATATGTTGCACCCATGAAGTTATGTCTGCACCCATCTGGACCCGGTGATTTCCAAGGTCCCAAACTAAATAGAGCCTCCTTCACTTGAATGGTGGGACTGTGACAAAGTTCATTTTCTGTAGGAGAAATATAACCACATAAGTTGGGACCTGAATACTTGATAAATCTGGATTAGTGGAGATGAATAGATTTTTAAAATAGGACACAAGAGTGAGAAATTTCTTCTTCATTGCTGGTCCACTTTCCTTCAGAATTTAAGGTAATAAATTCCTTTGTTTCTTCTTCTATTGGTAGCAGCATCATCTATCTCCTTGCAATGTCCAATCAACATTTGCACGTTGTTTCTAGTAAAGTTCTTCCCGATTGAGCCAAGTTTCGAGATCCTTTTTGCAGCTTTGAGATGTTCTGTAATCTTTCTGGCTGGAGTAGCTGGGAGGGATTGAAGGTACAACAGATCATCCTCAAAACCTTTGATATTTTGTCTCATATTGCCATGCAAACGATTACTCCACCTTTTTAAATCAGTAAGGACTGACTGAAATTTAGATTGAACAGGATTTGGATTGGGAGTTGGCAGATGTTTGTGAAAACATCACTAAAGTCTTGTTCATGGATCCATATCTGTTCAGATCGTGAATTGGAATGTTGGGTTCTCCAAGATTTTTTAGTATGCAAAAGGATTGGGTGATAGTCGCTAAAAATCGATCCAGACGTTGGCATATGAGCTCACCATGATCCCTTTTATTTGACTACTACATAAAACGTGGTCCTGAAAAGCCAAGATGGATCAATAAGATTACATTCATCAATAGCCACAGAAAGAAAATAATTATTTTCATTAGGTAACACAGCACGGCCGTCAACTTTTTCATTTGGTGAATTAATTAGATTTAAATCTCCACACAAGAGCCATGGGCGAGAAGTAGAAGCATGAAAAGCTCTTAGATCGTCCAAAAAATTCTTTCGAGCATTGAAATGAGGTATGTTCTTAATGGTGCAATAGATTGCTGTGTTAGTGATTTTCATCAGATCAACAATGAGATTTGAATTCCAACCGAGCCATATTAATCCTCCTCATCTTCCAATAGAAGGAAAAATCTCAATTTGATAGCCAACAGAGTAATGTTTTAATAGCCTATTGGATTTTGCCAAGCCACTCTTTTGTTTGTGAAATGAAGAAAATATCCGGCTTGTGTAGAGCAAGGAGCATTGTGAGACGGGACACTGTCAGTGTTTCCAATATGATATCTTCATGGCGACAGGTGTGGCAGATTAGTTTCTTTTTTAAAAGTTAAAACAAAAATAACTGCTGCATTAGCCAAACAAAAAATGTTCTTGAAATAATTTGATATTGGAGAGAGAAGGATGGAGAAAATGTAAAATTTCAACTATACATTGAATTAATTCATTAATTACAATTGTATCGTAATTGGGTATCCAATGGAGTTGGGTAGCCAAAGCCTACTATCTATCTTTTAGCTGTCGATGTCGATGATTTCTTCTTCTTTCTTTGGGCAAATGCACCAACCGCCAATGGATATCTGAGCCTATTTGTATTTGTATTTATACTCTGTGGATTGTGGTGTAAGATGGATACTCAAGGCCTAAAAATATGGTTGGTATTATTCATTTCCATAAAGCTTAAAGAATCTGATCTATGTAGGTACAGATGATCTAGTATCGGAAACATGCATAAATTTCAATGGAGGAAAACTGCCTCTGGCCTCTGGGTTACTTTTCCAAAAAGGAATGGAGGAAAAAAGATGACTGGGCCGCCAATCAGATCCAATATTTTTAAGTAATCAAATTAAGCCCTTTTCGAGAGAGGGTCAATTGGTCACCACACCAGTCATGGTCTGTGATCTGGGTAGGTATGTAATATAATAACCAATCCCTAAATTAAATATAGAAATACAGAATTTGACCTTCTCCTTTTCTCCTTTTCGAAGCGTCGGCGTCATTGAATACTTTAATTCTTTTAAAAGTCGAGAAATATGGACACCCCCTCCCTCTCCCTCTGTGTCTCTGTCCCTACCCAACCCTTTCAAACAAGTCCAGTCAATAGTCAAAATGGGCGACATATTTGTATATTATCAATAAGACAATAAATGATTCATCGCTAGTTGTTCTGTTATATGCAAGCTGAAGATTGGTACTTCAGAAGATTCAAAAGGAAAAAGCAAACCAAAGACAGTTCCATTTTTCATGTTGGCAGGTTAGCAACAATCCTGGCTATGCTTTCCCGGAAGGTAGCCTCGTCCCATTCACTCCCCTGCAATTAACAACATGACAATTACTAAATTGATCAATGTCACATTGTCATCTCCTTCAACATAATTTCTAAGAATAAATCATTTATCAATTATTATCGGGGGGGGGAGGGTGAATATGGACCGGTACAGTTTGGTTTCAATGTAGAACCTGAAACCGATTCCTATCATGTCAATATCAGTTCTAGGGTTGGTTCTGGTGTTTACAGTGCTAGGGTTTATCTGTGAAATTCAAAACCTTGTATTTTGTATGTATTTGTATACTAATAATAATAATAATAATAGTTTCAAAACTTAAGGCTTTGATCTTTGTAACTCTGAGCGATTGGGTTCAAATATTTATATCTTCAACTAGGGTAAGCCCCTATAGGAACCAGACTAGGGGTGATCATGGGTCAGGCCTAGGCATTGCCTTCATAACAATGGGCTTAGGCTAGGCCCGGGCCTGACCCTACATGACTCTGGGTCAGGCCGGGCCAAGATTCCAGGCCTAATTATTATATTGCAGTTCCAAAATTTAACAATTATACTTTTTTTTTCGCTTATTGTCGTGGAGACTATAATAACCTGTAAGAAACTTTAAACTTAATATCAAGATAAAAGCTTCTAACATAAAAGAAATTAAATAATTATACATTGTAATTTATAAGTTTCAATTAGTGGTTTTGTGAAATTGGTGAGAGAGAGAGCCGAGAACGGGAAGATTAGGGTTTAGTAATTTCTATATTTTATTAAATACTAAATTAAAATTTGGTAAGACTTTGGACCCTAGGATTAAAATCTTTAATTTCCTACAAATCTCTATTAATCTCTATTTAATATATAAAACATCAATTATCAAATATTTTTAAATATATATATATATATATATATAAAGATATATATTATTTATAAATATCTGGGCTGGGCCTAAAAAATTAGGCCCAAGCCCGGCCTTAAATTTTGCGGGCCCGGGCCCGGGCCCAGGCCAGGCCAGGCCTTAACAAAAAACCTAGGCCCAAGCCCGGATTTTCCGGGCTGGGCAGAAATGATCACCCCTAAAACAGACCCTACCTCATAACCAATTGGGTAGGGTGGTTCAAGACCAGTAATGTTCGAGGTCGATTACATTGGTTCCGGGTAGAACCTATCCAATCCATATGCTCACCCCCTAGAGTTTATATCTTAACATCCTTACCTTAATATTTAATTTCAAGGTTAGTCGTTTAAATGAGCCCATTTGCTGCATCTGGGTGTTGGCTTCCATTGAAACTAAGCTAGCGACCCTAGTTTGTTTAATAAATTCGAGTAGGCGGATACCCAGCTCCAACAAATCACAGTCTTGAATAACAGTCACTCGCACTTCAACTTGGCGCTCTTCCGATGTTGATTCTGCGGCATGGACAACTCGTATATCTATTCTTTCATTTGGAGAAGCGTTATCTTCTTCACTAGCTTCTCTTGCTGCAGACACAAGTCGCCCCTCCGGTAATCTGTTCTGTTGCTGGAGCTGAAGAACTTGAGCCTTCAAAGCGATCAAGTATTCCCTAGTGCTGGAAAGCACCGACAATTTGTTTTTCTATCAAAGCAGAAATCAAATGAAATAAGGTCAGCCTTGGACACAGATTTTTTTTTTTTTTTTTCTTTTTCCCAAGAGAACCATATATATTTTGAATTCGATACAGACCTTGGACCCTGGAGGAAGTAGTGAACTCAATGCACGAAACCTTTCGTTAAGCTTCGCTCGACGCTTACGCTCTGATATGATATGATTCAGATTGCTTGTTTGGCGGGTTGCTTGCATTTCTTCTTCGTTCCTCTTTAAATACAAGCTTTTAAAGAAGGCAATTGCGCGCTTCTGCATATTATTTCTGCGTATATTGGCTGTTATTGAAACGTTAACGATGGGTGCAAGAGAGGAGATGTAATCCTTGAAAGCGCTCTTATGTTGGCTCAGTTTGTAACCGTGGGACTGCAACTGGTGATGATGAGATGATGAGGACGTCGAAGGAGAAGAAATAACCGCGAGCATGGCTCTTGTCATTGCCGCATCGTCGCTCTCCCAACTTGGAAAACGAATGCTACTAAGACGTTGGAAAGGTTGCGTGGTTTGCTGCTGGAGTACTGGCATAGTTTCGGTCGGCGTTGGAAGGATTGCTTTCTTAACGGGTGCTTCCTTCAGGGTTTTAGGCATGCTACAAGTACTCGGGATACTGAATACAAGAGATGAGTACTCCGGGCTACTCACGGACATTGAACTCAGTGATGATGAAGAACGGTTCTGATCCTGTTGGTGATGAAGGAGTTCTCTAAATTGAAGCTGTTGATTCAAGTCTTCGGGAAAGAACTTCCTGATCTCCATTTCCATGTTGATCTGCTCAACAAAGGCCAATATAATTCTGAGAGAAGTTCATGAAAAACATATCAGTACACACTATAGAATGTGGGTTCGATACCTGAGTTGGATTCATCGTTCCTATCTCAATCTCTCCACTTTTGCAGCCCATGAATGCTGCAGCCTGTTGGAAATTAAATTAACAAAAAAAAATTGATGATAATATTGTTTAACATATCTTCAAACTGGAGAAACAAAGAGAAGTTGTGTTCGTTGGACGAACCTTGATCCTAGCTTCCTGTTACAATCACAAAAAAAGGAAAAAAAAAAAAAAACACACACACACACAACACGATCATCAAAACTGTTTATTCATTCTCAACTTAACAAAAGGCACTCTGTCCCTCCATGTGATGTCGTCCCTCATTTCTTACCCGATAGAATCGACGTTGGGTTTCAGTTGAAGCTCGACTTTGAAGCTCCAATTCATTAAGCTCCATATAGGGAATACCTTCCTTGAAAGCTAATCCTGGTACACAGCTGAAGCAGTGAAAATTAAATATTGAATACATACCAAAACATAACCGATAAAAAATGGAGCTAGTAATCATATACGGCGACAGTACCCAGCTTACCTATTATCGATGTTGCAGAGTGATAACCTGTAATCTTCAAAGAGCCTTCGGGCAAGACTTCCAGAGGAGGAGCTGGGCTGGTTGCTCTCATCATGGTACCAACCGTCCCAAGAGATTAAACAGCTGGTGATCAAAATTAATTAAGCACGATATAAGCCAGAGAGAGAGAGAGAGATGGATTGTTTCTTACTTAAATGGATGGGGATAATAAAACCACAAACAACAATAAGAGCAGCCAACAGATTGAGCTATGGCCCGAAGAAAGCTGGTACGGTCCTCTTGTCCAAGGAAGAAGACAGAGTCCATGGAGGCGCACAGACTCCTACTCCTGCCTTCCTGAAAATCCTTGATTAGTTGTTGGGACTTGGGGTATTTAATTTTATGTTATTTTGTTCCTACTCTCCTTGTCTCTTTTATATATATGGAAAGAGTAAGAAAAAGGAGAATGGGTGGGTGAATAAATAATTAAGCAACCCACAAAAGTTTGGGAAGAAAGTAATGGGTCAAAGCGTCAAAGGTTGGAGTTTTGAAAGACGTCAAAGGAGCCAGCCAAAGTCAAATTAGTTATGGAATGCCTCAATCCCATTCTCTCCTCTTCTTATGGTTTTATTCAATTTTTATTGACTTTCTAAATGCATTGTTCTAAACCCCCATATATGTTAAAATATCTTACTTGTGTTGTGATAAATACTTTCTTCCATATTAATATTTATGAGATGGAAGAATCTATAAAAATCCACTCTCTTATATCTTAAGGTCCGTCTGGTTCATGGGAAAATTGTAATGCACCATTTAATTATGAACCATTTGATTGGACAGAATGGGATTCGGATTCTCATTTTTGGCAAAATGGTATTCCCTTATTTGAGGAAAAGGTCAGTCTGGCCTTTCTTCTTGGAAATGAGAATCTAATTTCGGCCAAAAATATAAATAAAAAGACAAATGACTTAAAACCCCCTAAATCTTATCTCTTTACCTGATGTCAATCCCCTTATAAATCGTACATATCATAAGGAATTTAATTCCAATTCTTATTCTGACCGTGAGCCAAACAAACCCTAAATATTCCATTTGTTCTGGGCTCTGTTTTTTTTTTTTCCTTTTTTTCCGAAATGTATCTACCACCACCGCCAAAGACCATTCTTCGGACCGTTGGAAGTATGAAGACCGAAGACATTGTCAATTTGTGATGGATTAGTCCCATCCTCGTGTCGTGTGAACGTCCAAACCACTTGAAAAATTCAAGTATTTGTGTGTATGCCTTTCATCTAATTATTTGACCTAATTCAGGGCTTACATCATCATATGCACATGCCACATGGTAATGGTAATGGTAGTATTCCTGTGAATTAATTAATTTGACTTTCAATCAAAGAAAGGTGTACCCATTCAATTGCCAAGATCATCTCATATATCGGGTCAGCTTGTTCTCACTTTGGGTTCTAGAAGATTATACATTAATTTCCAGACCACAAGTCCCAGTAGTCCCTGTCTATTATATTTAAAAAAAGAAAAATTCCGTTTCGAGAGGCAACAACAAAACAATTGGCCATGCATATTCAGCCTTTGATACTGTGGGTTCTGATGCATCTGGAAAACAATTTAGGTACAAGGTGATACTTGTGCGGGTCCAACCCCAGCCCAGACAGATCCAGCCTGCATTTCTATATGGGCTGGTTCAGACTATAATATTCAACTGGTGGCCAATCCAAAGCATCCTCTACCAAGTGGGCATCTAGGGTTGGCCATATCATCATGCAATATGGTAGAAATAGAAGTGATCTCATTGGCTCCTGATTCAGAACGCCCCACGAGGCCACAATACATTCCAACCGTGCATTGGGAATATCTCTCCATTGCAAGTATAGGAGATACTGTTCTCAAAACCGGACTGGACCGGACAGTCGAACCATTCAAACCGTTCTGAACGTTTTCCAATTTTTTAAATTTTTTTATTTTTTTTTTGTCAGAGCAGGCCGGCCATTCGGGTTGAACGGTCGGACTGTTCAAACCGATAACCGAACCCCTGACCGGTTCGTTTTTAAAAACCATGATAGGAGATGTTCCCAATGTAAGTTGAGATGGGCAGTGGGGCATGTGTAGGGTGAAAACTGTGGGGAGCCAATACAGACTCAGAAATAGGATGTTTCCTGTAGTTGGTTTGACCTCCTGACTAGGGAACTATGAATTCCTCCTGATCATATCTTCTGGTACCCGTGGAAAAATAGAAACGACAAAATTTTCAATAACATAAATCTATCCCTCAGGAGCCTGGTCTTATGCTAAAGAGTTTATGGAGGCAAACAAAGACTTAACAAGGACAAGATAAAAGGAGGAGAAATTTTGGCTGCCTAATGAGAAACTATAGAGAAGAAATTTTACGTGCAAAAATGGGTAAAATTGGCTGCACAAACATTGCAGTAGCAGAAACATGAGCCGCTCTTGAGGCCATAAACTAGCTTTGTAGGTAAGAGCAGGGTCATCCATCATTATAAAAGGCGATTCTCTGCTGGCCATCACTCATCAAGATGCTTCAAGGCTGCTCAAAGATCCCCAACCACTGATAGAAGATTGCTGTCAGATTGCCAAACCAGATTTAAGCAAGATTAGTCTACAGCAACACGAGAAGGGAAAGGGAATTGCGGGCAGACTGAGTACTAGCTAATGAAGGTCAAGAAAGGAGTGATTTCTGCAGGATATTTTTAGATGCTGCTGGTGGTACTCGCCCTCGCTGGTGTTGATTTGTCTTTCAATCTATCAAATAAAAAAAAGCATTTTACTGTCAGCTAACATCGTCTTTCTTTAGGGAAGACAACCCCAGCCAGCCCAGGCAACTTTGGACAATAAATGCTACACAATCAATTATATATATATGCAAATGATGTGAAATGTATAGGGAAATTGTCTGTAAGCAATTTATTTGATTTTGCCTCCTCAACATCGTCCAAAGAGCAGTTGCACAACCATTTATATAATGTAGATAGAAACCTAAAAACAAACCAAAAAAGCTACTTGCAAAATGTAAACAGAAAAGATTAATGCCTTAAAGCAGGGACTTAATTTTTTTTCCCCGAACAGGGCTTTTATGGTTTATGCGGACCTCTTCTTTCAAGAGATAGGAGTTAAGAAAGAACTTGGATTTGGTCCCCAGAAGAGAGAGAGAGAGAGAGAAAGGTGGATCTCCATTAGAGAAATGCAACAAGGTGGGGAATAATTCATGAAAGTATAAAACCAAACCTGGATGGGTGGGAGCTCATCACTCACGTGGTCTTAGTGGCGATTTTATCTGCCACTGTAGCATAGAAAATATACATCCTGCTGCAATAACAATTTTTTAGCAACAAATATTTAATAAATAGCTTTATAGCAGGGGTTATTGCGCCGGAAATTACAACTGCTAAAAGTTTATAACTGCCACTCAATGTCATTTTAACAGAAATATTAATAGCAATCAATTATTAAAACGCATCCACAAGGTTTTTAATTTGTATAACCTGTAATGCTTAAGCAAAAGACCATCTATTGTATTTTTACATCAAAATTATGAGTAACTATTCAATAATGACACAATATATATTTCCAATTTGAGTTTTCATACATCCATTGTGATGTATTACAAGTGGCTTTCTTGTTACATATTAAACCAAAAAAAGACAAGTAAAAAAATGAGAATTGGACTTCCAATCATCCATCCACATGTCTATTAATGTCCCTAATATATGTTCAACCTGAAAAAAAAAATAAAAAAAGTTAAATTTTATTGTCACATAGACAAGTTATATATGAAAGGTTATTTAAAAGTCATTTAAATAAAATAGCACTTGCACAAATTGATGGCCAAGCGATACTCCAACTGCATCTTCAATTGTTTTAAAAGGGCATCATTATTGGAGATGGATTGGTGCTATCCTTATACTGGGTAAGATATTCCTACATTGCTGATTTTATATGTTGTACACTTAATTTTGAAATAGGAACCTGTAATGTCAAATAATTAGTTGATATTCCATCTTTTGGGTGGGTGGGGGGTATTCTTGTAGATTGATAGAAACGGGTACTTGATTTATTTAATTTCAGCCGTTAATAAGGCACCTTGTCATGTTTTAGCTTTCTATGGACAGGTCTTTTTAGTTTTGCATAGACGCTTTTGTTGTGTTAATGGAATCTGTTAAGTGTACCATAAGGTCCTTTGGTGTATTTTGAGACAGGATAGATCTTCTCTTGAATGGTCAGAAAACCTAATCATTTATGCAAACTTCAAAAGAAAAGGGAAAACTTTTCATATCTAAAACTTACATTCATCAGGTGACTGTTAGTAACTTAACAGAACTTGCCAGAGATCTTTTTTTTTTTTTTTGATAAATGAAAATAATTTATTAAAACAGAATACAAGGCAATACAGGAAACCCATGAAGAGGCACGAGCTGTTACCTCTTCTAACAAAGTATTACATCACTTAAGAACCGGATAAACAGAAATAAAATTACATAGCAGCCCAAAATAAATGATCCCTTGAAACCCCTTGCTTAGCTAGTCCATCTGCTAAGGAATTTGCTGATCTTTCTCCAAAGAGAGGTAACTGTCATATTTCTTGTGAGCCAATTGACTTTCCTCAATAAATCTCTATAACGCCACATAGCTGAAGCTGGCTTTGTCAGTCATCCCACGACAATTTTAGAGTCTCCTTCAACTATCAAGTGTTGAACTCCTAACTGTTCAGCAATCTGGATGCTTTGTACAGCCGCTAAGATCTCTGCTCTATTTGAGTCTCCTATTCCCACAGGGCCTGAAAACAAAGCTAGGATGTTGCTCTCTTTATCTCTCAGCACCCCTCCAATCCCCGAAGGGCCTGGGTTTCCTTGGCTACTACCATCAAAATCCAGCTTTGCCCAACCTTCAGGCGGAGGCTTCCACACTGCAGCTGCCTTGTCCCTCCTCGTATGACTAGTAGCTACCGCCTTCCAGTTACTCCAGATGTCATAAAAGGAAAACGTATGAAAGAAGTCCAAAGTTCTTAGCCAATGAATGGCTCTGGTCAATATACAATCCTCAACAGTTTGTAAGCTTCTTTCCTTTTCTTTGAACACCCTAGAA